TGACGTCACTAACCCCTCTACTGACGTCACCAATTTCTACTGACGCCACCACCCCCTCTACCGACGTCACCACCCCTCTACCGACGTCACTCACCCCCTCTACTGACGTCACCACCCCTCTACTGACGTCACCAATTCTTCATCACTCAAAGTGATTTATGGTCTCCAATATATTAAATTTTAAGCGTTTCATGATTTACATTTGACAGTGAAAATGTGGCAAAAATTTATATCATGAGATGGAACTAGTGTGGTCGTCTCGTCGTTACATTCAGCATTGTAACTTAAAGTCATGGACAGACAGACAGACAGACGTACGAAACCTTCACAGGATCTAGGCCACCGAGTCACTTGCAATACTTACTTGAAGTTAAGGTTAATACAGCCTAGGTACTGTATAAATCTCTCTCACACACACACACACACACACACACACACACACACACCTACACCTACCTTTGACCACTACATAGGACTCCTGCTTATCCCTCCTCCTCCTCACCATTAATTAATAAGTACGTAGCAATTAGAGTGAGATAATTACCTCCTAAAGTGGAAATGGCAGCTTATTACTACACAACACTGAGGTCCTGTGACGATGGAGAAAGAAGGGAGGGAGAGAGGGAGAGAGAAAGAAGGGAGGGAATGAGGGAGAGGGGAGGGGGAAAGGAAAAAAGGAAGAGAAAAAGAGAAAAACGGGAGGGAGGGAGGAGAGAGAGGGGTTCAGCACGTGAGGAAGGGGCCCAGGTGGACTCCGCTCAATAACAATGGCAGCTTCAAGGTGACCCAAGCTGACCTGCATCACCACCTGCCCGGGTCACCTCCACCTCCCTCCAGTACCTTACCTTCCCTCCAGTACCTTACCCTCCCTCCACCTCCCCCCAGAACCTTACCTTCCCTCCAGTACCTTACCCTCCCTCCACCTCCCCCCAGAACCTTACCTTCCCTCCAGTACCTTACCCTCCCTCCACCTCCCCCCAGTACCTTACCTTCCCTCCAGTACCTTACCCTCCCTCCACCTCCCTCCAGAACCTTACCTTCCCTCCAGTACTTTACCGTCCCTCCAGTACCTTACCCTCCCTCCACCTCCCTCCAGTACCTTACCTTCCCTCCACACACACACACACACACACACACACACACACTTAGAGGTGTCGGGTGGAGGAAGGACACGAGTTGGACACAAGATGCGAATGCCTGACCAGCTCAACACGCCAGAGGTAAAGAGTAAACATTCATGAGGCAGCCGACACGACACACCTCTCATCCCACTCACTTCCCCTCTCTCCCTTCCCTCTCACTCCTCTCTATCTGTGTGTGTGTGTGTGTGTGTGTCGCATCACTATTATTGAGTTGTACATCGTTCTTCACTTCCCCTCTGTCTTCCTCCTTCTCTTCCTCCTCTTATTCCTTCTCTTCCTTTGTACTCCTCCTTCTCTTGCTCCTTCCCCTATCCATTTCGATTTCTGACCCCACTTCCTCTTTCTTCTTCCTTCCACCTTTACTCCCCGTCTCTCCATCCCCCCTCTTCTCATCTTCCCTCCCCACTTCCTTACCCTCTCCTCCCCTCCTAGCTTAACCCAGGTAATGACTAAACCATCTCAAGACTGTGTGTGTCCTGGGTCAACTCTCGACCCCTTGTTAACTAGGTCACGTTACGCCATGTCAAGTAGCTGAAGAGAAACTACTGGGTTTAAAAGAAATATATATATAAATAAGTAAATAAACAAAAGAAAAATGAAGGTGGGTGTAGGGGGAGGGGTGTGGGGGTGTGGTGGGGTGGGGGGTGGAGGGGTGTGGGGGTGGAGGGTGTTTGGGGGGAGGGGGTAAGTGGGAATGTGGTATCTTTTTGTTGCTATTTTTGGTCCTGCAAATGACATGTCCGGCCCATAGGACGAATCTTGCTTGTGATGTCATATTCAACACGTTATATATATATATATATATATATATATATATATATATATATATATATATATATATATATATATATATATATATATATATATATATTCATTCTATCTCTCTCTCTCTCTTCATTGAGTGTAACACCAGTACACACACACACACACACACACACACACACACACACACACACACACACAAGCGTTAGTGTAGGTAGTGACCCCAAACTCTCTCATCATTATTCTGTAACTAATTGTTGCACCACGAGGACACCTATAATTCCTCACTACTCACTCCCTCAATACATACATACAATAATATATACAGAAGAAGAAGAAGAAACAGAAGAAGAAGAAACATATTTCACCTCCGAACTAAAGTCAAGATATCAAATAAAATGCACAAAAAATCATAAGATATCATGGTAAAGTAGAGCAAATCTATGTATCTATCTATCTATCTAGAGAGAGATTAGGTTAGGTTAGGTTATGGTACTCACGGTGATCATGGGAGCTGTCAGGAGGCCCCAGGCAAAGAACTCCAGGAAGATGACCACCAACGCATGGTACACACTCGGCTCCCCGATGCCTGAGCTCTGTAACAACAACAACATGTGATTAGACTCTGTAAGACAACACAACATCATGTTAATAAACTGTGAAACATAACAACACAACCCCTCAACACTAACACACTCACTCACACCCACCCACAACATCACTGATAACCCACACTATACCCACACCCACCCACCCACACTACACCCACCAATACTACACCCATACCCACCAATACTACACCCACACCCACCCACACTACACCCACCAATACTACACCCACACACCCACACTACACCCACCAATACCACACCCACACCCACCCACACACCACACCCACCACACACACACCCACACCCACCCACACCTCACACCCACCAACACCACACACACACCCACCCACACTACACCCACCAATACTACACCCACACCCACCCACACTACACCCACCAATACTACACCCACACCCACCCACACTACACCCACCAATACTACACCCACACCCACCCACACTACACCCATATCAACACCCTCAACTGTACACCAACCACCACGGCACTTAAATCACATTCAGACATGTAGTTAGCTTCTTATCCAGTCATTTAACAGTCTAGAGTGAGAGATTAACCACTCAGCTAACAGTCTAGGGATCCACACATGTCAAGCTCACACACTATTTTCCCCTCATTTAAATACAATGTCGAGATGAGGTGTGTGGAGGGGTGGTGGAGGGGTGATAGGGGTGTGGGAGGGGTGTGGGAGGGGTGGAGAGGAGGGTGTGTGGAGAGGAGGGTGTGGGGAGGAGGGTGTGTGTGTGTGTGGGGAGGGTGTGGGGATGTGGGTGTGTGGAGAACAAAATGTCAGCAGACAACATCAATAAAGAGCTCGATGCCACCCACACCCGCCCACACACCTAAATGATACCACGGCTGAGGATAGTGATGATGATGAGGGGAGGGTTGGGTTAGTTTGGGTTGGGTTAGTTTAAGTCTTTCCCCCCCCCCCGAGTGAGACACGTGGGCCAGACAACAATTAACACGCGGGGTGGGATGCGCAAGGTCTGTGTCCCTGACTGCCGGAGTGTGTGGCAGGGTGGATGTATGTGAATCACTCCAGTGTATATATGATAGTTGTTGAGGTCTACAGTACAGTTGTTACTACGATAGGGGCGAGGGAGGGGAGGAAGTGGGGGTAGGAGGGGGTAGGGGTGAGGGGAGAGGAGAGGAGAGGGAGGGTAGGAAAGGGAGGAGACGGGGGAGAGGGAAAGGGGGAGAGGAGGAGGAGAGGGATATTATGTTTACTTTGCCGTGTTTATCTTAGTTCGAGGATGTTGTCTCCCTCTTAACTAAGGTGTGTGTGTGTGTGTGTGACAAATCTAAATCTGGGTTACAATCTGGACGAGACCTATTATAAGAACACTCACATGACACGTAACTAAGAGACGGTTCTTACTAGAGGCGTCACCCCCCCCCCCCTTACCTCCCTCCCCTTCAGTCACCGTGCTTCACCTGGGATGCTTATACTGTCTCCATTAATCCCATGGGGGGGCGCTGGGTGGGTGGGTGACTCATTGTTGTTGGCTGGCGGCAGTACACACACACCAATGTTTATGTCACCAGTACAATTAAACGTGATTGAGGAGTCAGTAACAGGGTCGATCACCGAGGGCGAAGTTCACAAGTACAGATCTGGTGTATCTGTGAGGGGGCGATTATAGTAACTAGCTCATGTGTGTGTGTGTGTGTGTGTGTGTGGTGCAAATATACTGGAGTATGTGGCGAATATGTTGTGTTGAAGTGTTGAAGGGTTATAGTGGCAGTGTAGTGACATGTTTTGGTATGTGGTGAGGTGGTGTGGCGAAGGTGGTGTGATGAGGTGTTATGGTGAAGGTGGTGAACAGATCGTAAGTGTGGTGGTGGCTAAGATGGAGAGGGGCGTGGCAGTGTTTACAAGAGGCAGTAATAAACCCTGGCCATGGAGGAGGAGGAGGAGGAGGAAGGCCCGCTATATTAAGCTGTGTGGATTGAGTCAAGGGTCGGAGCATCTGGCACTTCAGTCCTGCCTACTCGTGCCATCACCACCACCACCACCACCACCACCTGTTCACCACCACTACCAGCAACACCTACATAGGATAAGAGAGACACACACAGCTCCCTCCCTCCTCACCAAAACACACAAGGACAAGACCATAAGTTAACTACGTGATATTAGTCAGTTGGCGTGAATCAGTGCCCGGGTGCCAAGGCTAAGTGCTACTGACGGAGGGGGTGACAGAGTAGGAGGAGGTCTGTCTAGCTAGAACCTTCCAGAGTATAGAGTACACCTGAAATATATAGTGTGGCTGAGTGCCCCATCCGTCTGTCTTTACGGGAAGGGAAGGGATGGGGAGGAGAGAAGGAAGACAAATCAACAGCTACTCCTCCATGTGTAAGTATAAACATAAGTGCCTCACCCACACTCCCAGCTGAAGGTAAGTGTGTACCTCCAGAGATCACATGACCGACCAGTGAGTGAAGACCGCCAGCGTAATGTGTGGAGCGGCGCCACTCAGTGATACAGGCCTACCACCACTACCCTCCCTACCACCACCAGGCACGTGGCTCGTCTCACGGTGGTAACGAAGGTGTCAAGAGCAACGATTAAGGCACTTAGCAAGCACTCCTACCACCTGCCCTGCCCTGCCCTGCCCTGCCCACACACACAATTAACCAGGATAATCTTCTTCCCCATAAACCCACAATAATAATACACCATTGAACAGCTTGTGGTGCAGAAGGGTGAGGTAGGAGTTAAGGGAGAAGGAAGAGGAGGGAGAAGGAAGAGGAGGGAGAAGGAAGAGGAGGGAGAAGGAAGAGGAGGGAGAAGGAGTTAGGGGAGAGGAGGGTGGAGGAAGTCATTGTACCCCGTAATGCCCCAGAAAGATATTAAACTGTGTGTGTGTGTGTGTGTGTGTGTGTGTGCGCGCGTTTTCAGGGGGAGAGGGGGGGGTGTAAAGGGTGAAGTGAGAGTGTGTAGAGTGATGGGTCCATGGGGAGTATCTGGAAGAGAGGGGGAGTGAGAGGGAGTGAGAAGGGAGTGAGAGGGCTCTTCAGTTGTCGTTATGAACCAGGGTAAGTGTCTGAAGGTCAAAATAGGACAACGCTTATTACCATACACCACCCGCCCCCAGCCACCCATACACCACCCTAGGCCCACCCATCCCCAGCCACCTCCATCCATCCACCCAATGCCACCCCTATAAAACACCCACTTCCATACACCACCCACTACCACCCCATCCACCACCCACTCCCTCACTACTCAGTGGAGATAGATCTAACACACCTACCCCCCCCTCCCTCACCACCCTTTCTCACCCACCTCCCTCACCTCCTCCTACAGGTATGATCAACACAGTATAGCCGCCTCCTCACGCCCTACAGGTAACTCCCACCACAACACTGTTACCTGTTAGTGGGCGTCATTAACAACCTGTTACCTGTGTTTACATCTGACGTCACCAACACCAAATATAGATTGGTAGGGTAATGTATACTACCACAACAGATATTGGTCCTACACATAACCACAACACCACCACAACCACACCACACGATTTTTCACCCTTCCTGAGAGACAGACAAAGAGGTAGGTTCACTATCCATCACATGTAAAGAAAGGTAGAATCACATGGCATCAAAGGTAATATCCTTAAATGGATTAGGGCGTGGTTACAGGACAGGAAACAGCGAGTGAGCATTAATGGCACTAAGTCCCATTGGAGCAACGTCACTAGTGGAGTTCCCCAGGGCTCAGTACTTGGACCATTATTATTTATTATATACATAAACGACATAGATATCGGCATAGACAGCAATATAAGTAAATTTGCTGATGACACTAAAATAGGACGTGTTATTAAATCTGACGAGGACTCCGCAAAACTACAGGAAGATCTGAACAAATTCTTCGAATGGTCTGAAAAATGGCAGATGAAATTCAACGTGGACAAATGTAAAGTGCTCAGTATAGGAGATGTAAACAGGGAACCAGGTACCAGATGAACAACGATGCCATAGAGAAATCCGACTGCGAGAGAGATTTAGGAGTAATGATAAGTAGGAACCTTAAGCCAAGTAAACAATGTGTTTTTGCTCGGAACAAAGCTAATAAAGTACTTGGGTTCATACAAAGGAGTGTTAGTTACAAGACTAGCGAGGTCATCCTAAAACTGTATCTTGCGCTTGTGAGACCACACCTGGATTACGCAGTTCAGTTCTGGTCACCGTATTACAGAATGGATATAGAATCCTTGGAAAGAATTCAGAGGAGAATGACAAGACTAATCCCGGGCATTAGGAACCTTGAGTATAGAGACAGTTAAAAGCATCTTAATTTGCACTCCCTCGAGAGACGTAAGAGCGAGGGCGACCTGAAGAGGTGTATAAATGGAAGTCAGGGCTAAACAAAGGGGACATTACAAAGGTACTCAAACTATCCAACCAGGAGCGAACTCGTAACAATGGTTTTAAATTAGACAAATTTAGATTTAGGCGAGAAATAGGTAAACACGGGTTTGGAAACAGAGTAGTGGATGAATGGAACAAGTTACCAAATATCATCATTAACTCGAATACGCTGAATAGCTTCAAACATAGGTTGGATGCTTATATGAGCAATAGGGGTTGGGTGTAAACGGGACTGCCCAGTATGGGCCAATAGGCCCGCTGCAGTTTCCTCCATTCTTATGTTCTTATGATCAGAATGCCATACGTCACCATCTCCAGGTTTCTGTGTGTGTGTGTGTGTGTGTGTGTGTGTGTGTGTGTTTAAATTAGCTTCCGGAAGGTGATATTTTAACCTGGTCATCAATACCACATGACTCAGGAATATTGAAGGAGGGGAAGGAGGAGGAATAGGAGGGGAAGGAGGGAGAGGGGAAGAGAGGGAAGAGGTAATACTCCACAGCCGCGTCAGTCAATCTCCTCCAGCAAATTATTGAGACGCTGCCACTACTAAGTTTGGATCCATCATGTTAAAGGTGACTGCTGGTGTG